ATATGTACGGGCACGTAAATACGAATGCATATATACCTTTATATGTATATATATATATATATATATCCTGAATATTTATATAATTATTCTTCTATATTTATTATTTGCTCTTTTTCGTGTTTATCTGTCGCTTTTTTGGCAATGTTTACTTATTTATTATTTATTACTTTATTTATTTATTTATTTATTTATTTATTTATTTATTTATTTATTTATTTTGTTTTGTTTTGTTTTTATAGGCTGGTAGACTGCAAGAACGATTGGTTGGTGTACGTCACGGATATGGGTCAAGAAGAGCATTTCGTAAAACTCTTCGAGGCGGCTAAGATGGCGGGTTAGATAAACCCTAAACCCTAAACCCTAAGCCCTAGATGCCCAACGGTCTCCTTTGCTCAGCATCTCCTCTAGGGTTTAGGGTTTAGGGTTTGTCGTTTGTGGTTTGGGGTGTACGTTGAGTTGTTTCGGCTTCGTAATTGATTTAGATTTTGCGTCGTCTTTCCTATTTCATGGTTTCTACTCCAAATTGAAATTAAAGGTTTAGGGTTTAGGAATTAGGGTTTAGGGATTTTTTAATGATACGGCGACCACCGAGATCTACACTCTTTCCCTACACGACGCTCTTCCGATCTTTTTATGGTTTATGGTTTAGGGTTTAGGGTTTAGGGTTTAAGGTATTTTAATGATACGGCGACCACCGAGATCTACACTCTTTCCCTACACGACGCTCTTCCGATCTTTTTATGGTTTATGGTTTAGGGTTTAGGGTTTAGGGTTTAAGGTATTAGGGTTTAGGGTTTAGGGTTTAGGGTTTAGGGTTTAGGGTTTAGGGTTTAGGGTTTAGGGTTCTTTAGGGTTATTAGGGTTTAGGGTTTAGGGTTTAGGGTTTAGGGTTTAGGGTTTAGGGTTTAGGGTTTAGGGTTTGCGTTGCAGGTTGGTATAACCCGGAGTGTTCGCGTTGTTTCTTCGCGGGTTTTGGAGTTGTCCAGGGCTGCGACGGAAAGAAATTTAAAACGAGAAGCGGGGAGGTGGTGCGGTTGGTGGATTTGCTTGATGAAGCCGTCAGCAGAGCAAAAGAAGAACTAATGAGAAGAGCAGCAGAAGAATCAGGCAAGGGTTTAGGGTTTTGGGTTTAGGGTTTGGGATCTAGGGTTTAGGGTTTGCGGTTTTGTTGAGGGTTTTACGGTTTTACGGCCTTACGGTTTAGGGTTTAGGGCTTAGGGTGTATGGTTTTAGGGTTTACGATTTTTGGGTATTAGGGTTTAGGGTTTAGGGCTTTGGGCATAGGGTGTATGGTTCTAGGGCTGAGGGTTTAGGGTTTAGGGTTATATGGTTTTATGGTTTTACGGCTTAGGATTTAGGGTGTAGGGGGTAGGGTTTAGGGTTTTAGGGTTTTAGGGTTCTAGGGTTTAGGGTTTAGGGTTTAGGGTTTAGGGTTTGTGCAGGTGAAAGTGCATGCGACGGGGTGAGCTTGGATCAGCGAGCTGAGATATTGGGTTATTCTGCTGTTAAATATTTTGATTTAAGACAAAACCGAACGACAGACTATCAATTTTCCTACGATAGAATGCTCGACTCCAAAGGTATTTAAACGCATGCACCATTCTACTCACATGCATGCATTTCATGTTCATCCATGCATGCATCTTTGCATGCGTGCATGCATGCACTTCATGTTCATCCATGCATGCATGCACGCATGCATTTAATGTTCATCCATGCATGCATTCATGCTAATGCATGCATTTCATGTTCATGCATGCATGCGTGCGTGCATGCATGCATGCATTCATGTTAATGCATGCATCTTTGCTTGCATGCATGCATTTGTCTGCGTTTCTGGGGTTTTTTTTGGTTGGTTTATACAGTAGCAGTTTGCATGCATGTCTTTTATTAATTAATTAATTAATTTATTTATTTATTTATTTATTTATTTATTTATTTATTTATTTATGCAGGGAATACTGCGGTGTATCTCCTCTACGCCTTCGCCCGCATCTGCGCCATCTTTCGCAAAGCCCAAGTCGATCCCGAAACAATCGATCCCAGTAATGCTGCTGTTGCTGCTGCTGCTGTTGCTGCTGCTGCTGCTGCTGCTGGTGCTGCTGTTGCTTCTGCGGCTGCAGTTGCTGCCATCTGTTGTTTCTGCTGCTGCTGTTCCTGCTGCTGATGCTATCTTTTGCGGTTGCTGCTGTTGCTGGTATCTGTTGTTGGTACAGGTGCTGCTCTCTGTTGCAGCTGCTGCTGCTTCCATCTGTTGCTGCTGCTGCTCCATATTGCCGTTGCTGCTGCCGCTGCTGCTGCTGCTGGTCGTCAATACTTTTAATTGAAGTCTTATTTTTGTTATTGTTTGTTTTCTCAGGCGCACTTCGTATTACGGATCCAAACGAAAGACAATTGGCGGTTTTGCTGCTGCAGTTTCCTGACGTTGTTTTGGGAATTCTAGAAGACTTCATGTTGCACAGGCAAGCAGCAGCAGCAGCAGCAGAAGCAGCAGCAGCAGCAGAAGCAGCAACAGCAAAAGCAGTAGCGAACAGAAAAGGAGGTGTAGCAGCGGCAGCAGGAACAGCAGCAGCAGCAGCAGCAGCAGCAGGAGCAGCAGCAGCGGTGGCCCGAGCAGCAGCAGCAGCAGCATCAGCACCACCATACACCGCAGCAGCAGCAGCAGCAGCAGCAGCAGCAGCAGCAGCAGCAGCAGCAGCAGCAGCAGCAGCAGCATGCTTTGCATGCGGCATGATCTCCATCATCGGCATTGCATGCATATTTGTTTGTATTTATGTTTTTAATTGTATTTGTTTCTCAGGTTGGCGGAGTTTACTTACAAAATAACATCTTCTTTTTCAGACTTTTACATGAATGTAAAAGTTTTAGATACAGACGAAGACACCAGACGAAGCCGTTTGCTGCTGTGCGCAGCAACAAGAAAAATACTCAAAGTTTGTCTCTTTATACTCGGTATCACGCCCCTTGAAAGAATCTAATGTTGCTCTTCATGCAGCAGCAGCAGCTGCTGCTGCTGCTGCAGAGGCTGCTGCAGCTGATGCTGCTGATACAGCGGATGCTGCAGCTGCAGCTGCAGCAATATTTCAACTCCGTGCTGCTGCTGCCGCTGCGGTGGCAGCAGCACTTGCTGCTTGTGCTTGCTGCAGCTGCTGCAGCAGCAAGCTGCTGCTGCAGCAGCAAGCTGCTGCTGCAGCAGCACAACCAGCCATTACCTCGCTGTTACCTCCCCGCGCAACACGCGAACTAGCTCTGCTGCGTGGCGGGCGGCGAGCTAGCTAGCTAGCTAGCTGATAAGCTAGCTAATCAGTTAGCTGGCTAGCTAGCTAGCCGACGAGATGGCCAGGTAACCAGCTAGCAGCTGCTGCAACTTCGCGTTTGTGGAGCAGCAGCAGCAACTACAAGACCAGCAGCAACAGCAAGCCCAGCAGCAACAGCAGCAGCTGCTGCTGCTGAAGCGCCGAGAGCAACAAGAGCAGCGGCGAAGGCCACAACGGGAGCGGCAGAACATCAGTTAGAGCAGCCGCAGCAGCAGGAGACCGGCAGCAACAACAGCAGCAGCAGCAGATATCGCGCGGCGTGGCTTCGCCTCTGTCATCCTGCAGCTGCTCCTGGCTAGCCAGCTAGCTAAGTGGGTGCTGCTTGCTGCGGAGAGCTGGCTGGCTAGGCAAGTATTTAGCTAGCTAGCTGGATAACCGAGTGTCTAGTTAGCTTAGTTAGCTAGCTGGTTACAAAATATGTAGCTAGCTAGCTGCCTAGCCAGCCAGCTAGCTAGCTGGGAGTCAACTGTCGAGCTATCTAGCTAGCTGCCTAGCTAGCTAGCTAGCAAACCAGGGTTCTGGCTTGTTGGCTAGCCAGCCAGCTATGCAGCTAACTAGCTAGCTGGCTAGCTAGCTAGCGAGCTGGGCAGCTGGGTAGCTAGCTAGCTAGTGGCCTAGCTAGCTAGTTAGCTAGCTAGGATGTTTGTACGGGTTTTGTTGAATATTGGAGGGTAATTTTTGCTGTTTGTCTCAAATGTACAGCAGAAGACAGAAAGAATGGATGAAGCGACTTCGGGCCTCTAGGGCCCTGTAAACAGATTATTCACCTGCTGCTGCTGCTGCTGCTGCTGCCGCTGCTGCTGTTACTGCTGCTGCTGGTGCTAGTACTGCTGTTCCTGCTGCTGCTTCTGCTTGCTCTCTTCTTTGCTGTTAATGGCTTCTTCAAGGAACCCCCTTAGACGGAGACCGAACTGCGGTGTACGTACACCGCAGTTTGACGTGCATACAGCGAGGGCCCTCGTGCAGCAGCAGCACCAGTAGCAGCAGCAGCAGCAGCAGCAACAGCAATTAGCGGCAGAAGCAGAAGCAGCGCGTTACACAAGTATTTCTATCAGGAGCAGACGGATGAATAAACAGCCCCGTTAGCAGCCACTGCATAAATGCGTAAACCCAATATTATATATATATATATATATATTATATATATTGTATATATATATATATATATGTATATATATTACAAACACATAATATATACTATTAAATGTATCTACGAATTTATACAATTTATACAACTTATAGTCTGTAGCCACTGCTAGTCCTCAAGGATATATATATATATATAGACATAATATTTATATATATGTATAATATTTATACATTATATACATAAATACTACATTTATATGTAAATATATGCATGTATATATATAAATATATATATATATATGTATATATATATATATATATATGCATATATATATATATATATAAACGCGAATTTCTCTCAAGTAGATTTTAAAGTAGAGCAGTACGCCAACCGCATCTGTGTAAAGAACATTTCAATGAAATGTGCAGCAAATGCATGCAGATTCTCTCACTGGTGTGCATGTGCAATAAAGACAGAGGCATTAAATTGTTTGTACGGAGACTGCAGCTCTAATTGTTGCTGCTGCTGGTTTAGCTAGTCCTGCCGCTGCTGCTGCTTGAAATGCTGCTGATGCTGTTTAACTATTTTCGCTGCTGCTGATTTAACCTGTTACTGCTGCTGCAGCAATCGTCGTTGTTGCTGCTGCTTGCTGCTGCTGCTGCTTCTGCTGCTGCTGCTATTTGCATACAATGCAGCACAACATTATAACGGAGGCGAGGCTATTATCTGCTCCTGTTTTTGTTCATTTGCTTTGAAATAAATGAATTTATGTTAACCAAATAGAGTTTAAACACTAAAAAATGTGTGTATTTTCTCTAAAAACCCGCGGAGTGCTGCGGTGTACGTACAGCTCACGGGGCTGTTGATATCTGTGCAGCTGTCTGTTTTGTACGTTATTATGCACTTGTTTCTTCTTTCTTTGAGGTGTATTTGTGTATTTTTCTTTGTTTATTTCGATTATTAACTCTATTTTCTCTTCACTTCCATACAGACACCGCAAAATAACCTAAACCTGACCCCCAGCTCCCTGCTGCTCTGCTGCTGGGCGCTCCGCTGCTAAGGAGAATTCTTGCAGTGTACGTACACCGCAGCAGCAGCAAATTTCAAAATAATGCAGTTAATCTCATGCACATTTTAAATAACGCGCGTTCCTTCGCGTGGGGTGACGTAGCAGCAGCAGGAGCAGCTGCAGCTGTTGCAGCTGCTGCTGCTGCTGCTGCTGCTACGACGGCTCCAGCAGAAACGCCGACAGCAACTGCGATAGCAGCAGCAACAACAACAAAAGCAGCAATAACGGTAGCAGCAGCAGCAACATTAATAGCCACAGCAGCAGCAACACAGCAGCAACCATAACAGCCGCAGCAGCAACAACCGCAGCAATAGCAGCAGCAATAGCAGCAACACTCTTCTCCCTGGACTTAAGCTCCAAGCGTTGTAGTCGTAGCAAAGCAGCGGTCGATTGTCTTGTGATTTCTGCTGGTGCTATGGCTGCTGCTGTTGTTGCTGTTGCTGCAGCTGGTTCTGTTGCTGCTTGTGCTGTCTTTGCTGCTGCGCCGAAGGTCAGGCGCACAAGTGCTGCAGCGCGGGCCCCTCTGAGGGCATCCGTTGAATATGTGGGGAAGGATTACAGAGTCTTTCAGCAAGGTCAAGAAGAAGGCTGATGAGGTGCTGTTGCTGCTGCTGCTGCAGTTGCATCTACTGTTGCTGTTGCTGTTGTTAGTGCTGCTACAGCTGCTGCTCTTCTCGTTGTTGATGGAGCTGTTGTTGTTTCTGTTGTTGCTACTATTGTTGCTGCTGCTGCTGCTGCAGCTGGTATAAGAGGTGGAGTGCATGCGTTGCTGCAGGTGGCGAGTTCTGTACAGTCGAGCACCGCTTTATTCTCGCGGGCTCGTGATGTGCTGCTGACGTTTGGGGGAGGCAGTGAGACAGCAGCAGCAGCAGCAGCAGCAGCAGCAGGATTCGCGGGGCTCACGGCGGAGCAGCTGCTCCTGCTGCTGGAAGAACGAGCAGCAGATGTCAGGACCATAGAAGAAGTGCAGCAACTGCTGCACGTATGGACTACTTTGCTGCAGCACGACGGTAAGCAGCAGCAGCAGCAGCAGCAACTGCAGCAGCACCAGGTGCAGCAGCAGCAGCAACAACAGCAGCAGCTGCTGCAACAGGATTAGTGATGTGGTGCTTTGCTGCTGCAGATGACCCAAATGCCCCACGCTTCCCGTCTGGTGACTTGGAGCAGCAGCAGCAGCAGCAGCAGCAGCAGGAAGCAGCAGGCAGCGGCTCAGCTGCTGCAGGCCATCCCGGAAGCCAGCAGCAGCAGCAGCGCGTTTGCAGCGACTTCGCTCGACAGATTTTAAGCGAGAAGCAAATGCTGACGGAGCTGCAGCTGCCTCAAGAACTCCTTAGCTCAAACTTTGGCTTTGCAGAGGTCAGCAGCAGCAGCAGCAGCAGCAGCACGCAGCTGAGCCTTTTCTGTACAGCTGCATGCAATTAACCTTTGTAGCGTTCCTTAAATGCCGACTTCGACAAATCGGGAGAAGAGATACGGTGGTGCTGCTGCTATTGCTGCTGCTGTTGCTGCTGCTGCTGCTGCAGGTGCTGTTTCGTTCTGCAGGGCCCCAGCTGCTGCTGCGGTCCATTGCTAAGCGGCCGCAGCTGCGGGCAGTTTTCCTCTCCAAAGCGCAGCAGCAAATTCATCTCATTCAGCAGCAGCAGCAGCAGCAACAGCAACAGCAGCAGCAGCAGCAACAGCAGCAACAGCAAGGGGGAGAAGAGCACGCGATCCCGCAGCAGCCACCACCGCCTCCCGCTGGGTCTCCGCAGCAGCCGCAACAGCAGCAGCAGCAACAACAGCAGCAACAGCAGCAACAGCAGCAGCAGGCAGAAGGTGAGGATGCTCCTGCATTGCAATTTGCTGCAGCAGCATCTGTTTTTCATGAAGACGCGTCGGACAAGACGGATGTGCTGTTCCAGCTGTTGCTGCTGCTGCTGCAGCAGACGCTGCTGCTGTCATGGACTCAGGCCCTGCGGCTGCTCCTCGCGCTGCTGCTCTCTGCTGCAGTTGTTGCTGAGACAGAGGCTGCACTGAGGAGACTTCGGGAGCAAGCTGCACTCCAGCAGCAGCAGCAGCAACAGCTGCAGCAGCAACAGCAGCAGGAACAACAGCAGCACGGACCCTTGGGGGCTGATCGGACGAAGAGAGACGACGGAGAGGAAGGTGAAGCGCTGCAGCAGCAGCAGCAGCAGCAGCAGCAGCAGGAAAATGGAAGCGATGCCTCTAGCAGCACAGTCAGCTCTGCTGCTGCAGGTGCTGCTGCTGCTGCTGCTGCTACTGGAGCAAATGCAACGCTTGAGGGTTTCATGGAGGAGGAGGAGCCATTGCTGCAGGACATGTCTGTTGCTGCTGCTCGCGGTGTATCTGCTGCTCTTGCTGCAGCAGCTCTGCTGCAGCGGCGGCAGCAGCTGCAGCGACTCAATTACCAGGTGTCTCGGCTGCAGCAAGATGCTTCTGTACTGGGCAGGAAGATTGAGAGTTGTGATATGCCTTTGGCCGAAGATGCAGATGTATGCTGCTGCTGCTGTTGCTGTTTGTCCTGCTGTTTCTGCTGTTGCTGCTGCTGCTGTGGCTGGTGGTGCAGTAGTTGTTGCTGCTGATGGTGTTGCTGTTGTTTGCTGCAGCTGCTGGGGTTGCTACTGCTTCTGTTGTTGTTGTAGTTGTTGCTGCTGAAGGTGTAGTTGTTGGTGCTTTTGCTGCTGTTGCTGCTGCTGCTGCTGTTGGTGTTGCTGCTGCTGACGGTGGCTGCGGTGCTGCTGCCGATGATGGCTGTGGTGCTGGTGCTGCTGCTGCTTCACGCTTTAGCAGCACGGCATCTACCTCTGCTTTTGCTGCTGCTGCTGCAGGCTGAGAAGCTATTTGTCCCGCAGAACATGCGGCTGCGAGCGAGCAGTCGGTTGCTGCAGCAGACGGTGCTGCTGCAGCAGCTAAAGAAGCAGCAGCATGAGCTCCTACCCAAAGCAGCAGCAGAGGCTTTGGAGGGCATAAAGTTGCTGCAGCAGCAGCAGCAACAACAGATGGCTGTCTGGCAGCAGCAGCAGGAGGCGTCCGATGCCTTTTTGAACAAGCTACGTGTAAGCCCTTGCTGCTGCTGCTGCTGCTGCTGTTGTTGCTGCTGCTGCTGCTGCTGCAGGTGTTAATGTAGCTGCTCGCTGCACCCTTCCAGTGAGTGCAATACCTTCTAGGAAGCATCTCGCTGTGCTTGTGTTGTTCGTGCTGCTGCTGCTGCTTCTGCTGTCTTGCTGCTGCTGCCGCTGCTGCAGAGACACATGCAGGCGTCAGCTGAAGAGCTCGTCTCTCGAGCAGTTTCGTTTGAATCCCGGCGAAGTGCAGCGCAGCAGAAGCTGCAGCAGCTGGAGGAGAAGCGGTTTTCGCTGCAGCAGCAACTAGAGAACTGCCTTGCTGAGGTAAATGCTGCTGCTGCTGCTCTTTTGCTACTGATGCCTCCTGCTGCTGCTGCTGCTTGCTGCTTGTCTTGCTCAAGCCTGCTGCTGCTGTGGGGGGCGCGTGGGGGCGCCTTGTACGTAGTTTAATGCTGACCTAGTTTCTGCTGCTGCTGCTGCTGCAGATTGGGGCAGCAAAGGAGACTTTGAGGGCAGCGCACGCTGCAGAGGAGCAGCTGCACCGGGAGGTGCAGCGCGAGCAGAGCAGCAGCAAGAAGCTGGAGCGGAGACAGAAGGAGCAGCAGCAGCAATGGAATGTGACGAGAGACAGTTTGCTGCTGTTCCAGCAGGCAGCAAACGATGCAGCAGCAGCACATCGAGAAGCAGCAGAAGTCTCTGCTGCTGTCGCTGAAGCGGACGCAAAAGAGCTAGAAAGTATGGCTGTGCTTCAGCTGCTGCTGCGGATGTTGCTGCTGCTTCAATTGTTGCTGCTGCGGCTGGTGCTGCTTCGGTTGTTGCTGCTGCTACTGCTTCAGCTGTTGCTAGTGCTACTTCGGTTGCTGCTGGTGGTGCTTCAGCTGTTACTACTGCTGTTGCTGCAGCAGCTGCTGCCGTTTCTGCTGTTTGTGTTTCTGCTGCTGCCGTTTCTGCTGCTGGAGGTGCCGGAGTTGCTGCTGCTGCTGTTGGTGGTGCTGCTGCTTCATGTTGTATTTGGTTTGCTACTGCTGTGGGGTGTACAGACTCTCTTCTTACTTTAGTTTGCCGACATTTTGCTTTTGAAAAGAATCGCGTGCAGCAGCAAGCAGCAGTTTTGCGGCAGTGCATGCGTAGTCTTGACCAGCAGCAACAGCAACTGCTGCTGCTGCAGCAGCAGCGGGAGCAGGTGCAGCGGGAAGGCGAATGCGGAGACGGGCTGACAGATTACGAGCTGCAGCTGCAGCAAGAGGAGGAGGAGCAGCAGCTTCAGCTGCTGCACAAACAGTTCATTAAAGGCATGCAAAGGCTTAGAGTTGCCTTTGAAGAGTCGCAGAACTTTTTACAGGCGCATGCAGATACACTGCAAGAGGCGCTGCAGCAGCAGCAACTGATGCTGCGGCACAAGCAGCAGCAGCACAACAACCCCCCTTCCCCATCATCCACAGCTGCTACTACTACTGGGGACGCCCAAGAGCAGCAAGAAGCAGCAGAAGCAGCACGCGCTGCACTCAGGGAGATCGCTGCGGTGTACATGCAGGTGCAGCAGGAAGCTCAGCCTTACCTCCACCGCATCCGTGAGTCTTGTATTCGGGTTTCTTCTTTTAAAACAGCAGCAGCAGCAGCAGCAGTTTATAGCAGCTGCGGCAGCTTACGGGGTCTGTTCAGCAGTAGCAGCGACACTTTCAACAACGGCAGCACCACCAGCAGCAGGAACTGCACTCTTTGCTGCTGCTGCTGCTGCTGCTGGTGTTGCTGCTGTTGCTGCATAATGAAATGGAATTGCTGTTTGTTTGTACGACTTGGGTTGATTGATTTATGTTTGGTGTTTGCTGCCGTGCAGAAGCGGAGATGTCTGGGGAGAAGCCTCGTCAAGGGCAACCAGCAGCAGCACCAGCAGAAGCAGCAGCACCAGCAGCAGCACCAGCAGCAGCAGCAGCAGATAGCAACGATGGAGTAGTCGACAAATCCGTTGCATGGTTGGCATCCAGCGGTAATGGGGAGAATTTTCTCACGTCACCAGCAGCAGCAGCAAAAGCAGCAGCAGCAGCAAAAGCAGCAGCAGCAGCAGCAGCAGCAAAACCTGGGGAGGGCCTTCAGTTCTTCACTCTCGATGCGGATAGCGGCCCCCCGACTCCAGAGCTAGAGCCTGTTCCTGCTCCAGGTGAGAAGAAGCAACTCGGCGAGGGGAATGCTGCTGCTGCTGCACCTGCTACTCCTGCAGCGCCTGCTGCAGCGGTAGAGAACCTTAAGGGTTCTGTGTAGTTGCTTCGCAGCCTCCGCTGACACCCCAAACATTTCTGTGTCTCGCCGCTCCTTTGGAATGAGTGCAGCGCGACAAAACGCAGCAAAAGCAGCAGCAACAGCAGCAGCAGTAGCAGCAACAACAGCTGCAGCAGCAACAATAGCCAGTTGCTGCTTTAGGAATTTTGGGCTGCCCGTAACGGCGGGTGTCTGGCCTGCATTGAAATGAATACGAGAAGCATTGCCGCTGCTGCTGCTGCTGCTGCAGCAAAAGATTTCAGCTGCAGCGGCTTCGCTTCCTCTGTTTGCTGCTGCTGATTTGGTTTACTGCATGCAACTGCTGGACCCCCGAATCAGATATTCTTTTTCTATTGCAATAGCAGCCAAGAGGCAGAGGCAATAGCAGACAAATGGCTGTTTAGAGTATGGCTGTCGCCGCTACTGAGACATGCGCAGTTGCTGCTGCAGCAGCAACAGCAGCAGCCAATGCATTCGCATGCCTTCGTGTAAGTACCGCAATAGCAGTATGTACAACTGAGAGACTTCGCGTTTAGTGGCTAAGCAATGGCATGCGTATGCATGCAGGTAGGTATATGTACGGTTATAGCTTGTGTGGATATAGTGTGTGTACACCTCAAGGTGAGCCAACAAATGGCAGTACTGCTGCTGCTGCTTGCTGCTGCTTGCTGCTGCTGCTGCAGCTACAGCAGCAGATGGAGCGCCAAACCTCGCGAACAAAGAGAAGGGGAAGGCTGCCACCGCACAGCGGACTAAAGTAAACAGGCTGCCGCTCAAAAAGAAGAAAATGTAGTATTTCTATCTCCCAGTTCTGATACAGAGATTGCAAAAGATGCGGGTTAGAAGAGTAGTGGCAAACGACGAAGAGGCTGGAGGCAGCAATCGAATTAAATGCATTTAGTACGGAATTACCTCTCTTTCTATTTCGATACTGGAGTGTATGTGTGTTCCTGTTGGGGTGTACGTGTAATCTGCATTAAATACAAACTTCTAGCAACGCTTAAATGCTGCATGCAATTGCTGCTCTCTTTTAAGGCATCCTCTTACTGGCTACAGCCGGTGGAGAATGTCTTTGTTATTTGTTTAAAATTGCAAAATTAGTGCGTTTTTAATTCATAAGAGAAGCAATATGCAGCAATTAAGTTACCTTCAGAAGAAATTAGATTATTATGTAATCATGTTCTTTGTTTTTAGGAGATCTTCATATAACTCCACAAATTGTTGTCCGTACCATTTGACTGCAATGTGTTCTCTAAATTCTTTAATTTATTTTTGAAAACAGTATATTACCTTTAGAAATGGAATGAGAAGTACCTTTATTAATTTTAGTGCGTACTGTATTTTTGTTGAGTTGTTCTAATATCTAGACCTTGTCTACTGCTGATAGCAATGGTGTGTATTATGCTTTCCAAAAGAATTTTTTGAAAAATATTTACTTCGTGATGGCATATAAAGAACTCTTTTAGCTAAAATACTACATGCAAAGGGTGTTCCTTTTTTCCTATTGTTAAACTGGAGCTTTAGATACTAGAATGGGAAGAGGAGAAGGTTCAATAATTGAACGAAAGTATTTTTTAAAACCAGGATCCATTGTTTTTTTGGAAGGAGGAATTTGAACTGTCATAGAAAATTGTACTAGAACTCTTTTTTATGGACGAAGTTTAGACTTTTTTGGTCAGATTTGAAGTGATAAAGATTTATTAATCGACGGAGTTACAATCCTCTCCTACAGACCGCACAAGCTGGCTGTATAGCACAGTGCAAGTGAAGCTTCTAGGTGTGTCTATTATTGCGTTCAGGTCGTTTAGAGAACGCCACGGACGTCTCACAAGAGTTGCTTTTTCATGAAAACATCCCGTTCCTAGAGTCTTGTGTCTCTATACCATGGATCTAGCCAGATTCACAGTGGATAGGGAGGGATCGGGGGGATGGCCGCTATCCCTGTACACTTGCACAAATGTTCAGAAGTTCATGAGACTCGTATCGTATCATCTCACCTTCATCGACAAATTCGCTGAGATCAGCGCCCTTCTGACGGACCTATGGAAGAAGGACAAACAACCTATTTGGACAGACAGGGAGAGAGGATGCAAACGCCAGAAGCCGCATCAGACATCTACCATTGTCTCGAGTACTTGCGCTCCCTAATTTCAACAAGCACTTCTTCCTAGTAATCGATGCCAGTGACACAGAAGTTATGCTGTCACAGCAGTTGGCGTGCTCGTCTCTCTGCATGCGAACGATTCGAAAACGCAGCGAATAACCGCCTGTTACTCATACCGTTTCAAGCAGAGAAAGCAGAAGTATTTAGCGCGTTTGGAGGACCTCTACGCATTCTGGTGCGAAGGAAAAAGGTGTGGGCATTACTAATATGACGGGCGCATCGCCGCTCAAATCGATCACCAATCCCTGACACACCTGAGACGGAGTTTTCAACGCTGTGCCAATGAAGAAGCCCTGTAGCGGTTTTTTGCCAGCATAAGCAATACGAATCTATCGTTAAGTGCATCAATGATAACACCAACATGGGCACTAGCACACTCTTCTGTCGCCCTACCGGTCACACACTGCGTTCTGCAACTTTTTTTGTCTGCGACGATTCCTGATGCCCTGCCAAAACGCAATATTCTTGGTCCTTAGATACTCACGCCGCGGCGGTTGTTGCTAAGGCGTGGGAAACGTCCTAAGCACTACAACATAGGCGGCGATCTCTTGTGGAACTCGAGAAGGTGTGCGCTCCACCATGCGTTTCAGCTTCGCTTTGAAGAAACGGTTTGCCCACAAGCCACGATCATGCTTTTCCGGGCCATGTTCAACGCAACAGTGGTGCGGGTGGTCGGGATCGTTGGAGGGCCAAGTGGCACCCCTAGGTCGAGAAATATGCATGCTCGCCACCAGGCATATCAGTGCTTTACCATCAGTAGACAACCTAAAGCGGTCGTCTCCCACTACGCCAACACAAATGACGATGCTGGATTCAAGCCGATTGGATATTTGTGAACACATGGGGACAAACTGCGTCACCCCGAGCCCTTCAAACCTAAAATGCCAGTTCTGTCACCATGTGCTTGCACATATCCAAGTAGCTTGAGTCCAACATCGTCTTTATATGTCCGGAGTGACAGCAACAAAAGCGATAGGACACTTTCAAATCCCGGCTATTGCAGAGCCTTCCGATTCCTAAACGGATCTGGAAGAATATCACAATGGATTTCATAATCACTCACCGGCTGCAGTAGCATCTATCGTCGTGGATAGATTCGACAAGTACGCTCATTTCATCTTCCCTTGAGTTCAGTTAGAGCAGAGGGAGTTGGCCATATACCCATTAATCATCTGTACAAGCTCCACTATTTCAGAAGAGCATCATTACTTATAGAGACCCGAGAATTTCTAAAGGCTTCTCCAGCGAATTTGTCTAGCGGCTCAAAATTGACCATGGAATGGCCATCCCCAACCACCCACAGGCAGAAGGTCAAACGAAACGCTCCAACCACACGCTGGTGCAACATTTGTGACTCCATATCCAACTAAATTCATCGAATTGCCTTTAATATTCTCCTTCATATTCTCCCCTATGCAGTATGGGTTTATAGTACAACAGCGCCAACAGCGCGCCCGTTGACCCGTTGTCCTCCTGCCTTCTCAGTCTACCCCGGAACACCGCCGTCTGATCTGGCGTTGGAGAGGGCTGTCGAAAGCCAGCCGCGAAGGCCCGAAAACTGACTTCTACAAGCAGCTTGCAGCTGCTCGGGAATGCATGGAGAAAACCCAAGAACGCCAAGCAAGAATGCGGGACAATCGATGCTTGGCAGCAATGAGCAGCCTACGCAACTAAGCATTAGTGGTTTCCCGTGCTGTGCGAAGTGCTTAAAACGGTGAGCAGCTACATAAGCTTGCCATGCGTTGGGTAGGGGCCTTCTTTGCACTGTCTTGGGTTAACGCGCTGGCTTGGATTGGAGTATTACCACCACTGTGGGTGTCTTATCATACCATTAGTGTCAGCCTTCTAAAAAGGAGAAGGGAATAGCCGAAATGCCCAGGAATTTTCCACAACAAGACGGCAGAAACGTCGTTCCAAGAAAAGACAGCTGGAGAATAACGGGATACTGGACACATATGTAACGGCTGGCGCCCTTCACAGCAAACGAGAATGTTACCTTTGATAAGCACGATAAATGACAAATGGAGTGGATTTCTAAGGATTCTCTTTGCAAAGCAGTTATTCAGGAGCATCTAGGTCCTTTCCTCGACTCAACAGCAGCAGCTGCAACCGTGCGAATAAGAACTGCATCTTAATGATGACAGCGTTCAACTATTCAGTGACGGTTGGTCTGTCACGGGTAAAGACGGGCTTATATTTCTTTATCTGTGTGTATCTTCGGACCTGTGATCTATGCTGTCTCCTCTATATGCAGCCACGTCGTCGCCGCTGCTGAAGGCAAGTTCATCTTCATGCATTTGGAGTTGTGCCTTTGTCGACTGCCCGTCCGCCCCGCCCTCTCGCACACCAAGACAGCTGCTGGAGAATCTCGAAATTTTTTATCTTTTCTTCACTTGTATGGATCAGCAGCAATATGGTCCGCGGTAACTGGAGGATATGCAGCCTGAGGGTTTGGTGGTAGTGATGCTGCGGCTGACGTATCAGAGCCCCACGAAGCGAATGCAGCAACGGCAGTAACGCCAACAATACGAGGAGCAGTAGAAAAAACCACAGCAATAGCAACAGCAGCAGCAACAGTACCAACAACGCCAGTGGTACCAGCCACCGCAGCAGTCAGAGCAACTGCAGCCGCAGCAGCGGCGGCTGGAGCTCCCGGCGCAGCAGCAGCAGCAGAAACTCCAGCCCGAGCAGCAGCGAAGGGAATTCCTACGCGAGATGTAGCACCTAGAGATACGGCAGCAGAAGACACAAAAAATTGTGCAGCAGGCGACGCAAAAGGAAGGGATGATGCAGGAAGCAACGCAAGGGCACGAGACGTAGCGGCAAGGGATGCAGAAGCACGATACGCAACAACGACGGTTGTAGACGGAGGAGCCGATGGAACGACAGAAATTGCAATTCTGTCCACCCATCCTTTCTGGGAAGCTACGCACACGAGGGCGTGTACTGCTTGTAAGAGATTGGGATGCATATACAGCATGGTGTCTGCGAAGCAGGCAGACGAACGCCTACGTGGCCAGGTAGGTGCCCTACACTGGTCTACCGCTAACCACAAACCCGAGGCTAATGATTGAACACAAGCTTCATGTAGTTGCATGCATGCATACATAGAGATAGGTGTCTGCGGGCAGCTCGCGCTCAATCTTCAGCTTGCTTGTTCCATATTAATACTAGAAGTGTGACAAAGCCATCGATCTTATCCAGTGACGCTCGTGCGCTGAAATAGCGTACAATGCAACAAACGGGGTGCGGGCGTGGCTAGGCTTCCATGTGGCGTTGCCTGGGGGTAGTAGTTGCAGCAAGTTGCGTTGCAGCTCCTCAGGCCGCCTCCACGATGTATCCCTCCAACGGTCCCGAGCCGCTCTTCCCAGGGACACTGGCTACTGAATGAAAGCTCATATGCCTTTTAGTTTGCCTTTTTGTACAAATTTCCACATTCTTTCAGCTGGCGACGAGGAATGGATAGTTTCTAGGTTCCTCGTAGCCACAAATTCGCTGGTGGTGATTGAATGCAAGATTGCCAAAGGAACCATTGCATACTGATATATTTTTGTTTGCAAGCGACTAGAAACCACAAGCCGAACGCATAATCACGCAGCAACCCTTCTCAGAGACGAACGCTCGGCCAGTACAGCAAAGGACACAAGCATTCGTTTCTCGCCATATTTAGGTGTATTCTTTGCCATATCTTCCCCATATCGTCCGGGGTTATATTTGGGGCTTAGTAGGATTGGCTGCAGATTTGAGCCTCGCGAAGAAAACACCTCGCACACCGGTGCCACGCAGAGGCACGGTGCCCCTCGAGCCGCGAGGAGTCTAGTCGTGTTCTCCAATGAAACAGTCTATTTCAATGTTTTATTCAGTTTCAGTTTGTTTAGATTATGTATTTTTGTGAATTTTGTGGGAAATTCGGTCTCCTCAGTTGGAGCTTCATACGCTTCTCTTCACGCCGATCTGGCGCACGGACGCCCCCGACCGATCTCTCAAGCCGACCGAACCCCACTGTCGCGTACAGCTGGATCTGGGGCAAAAGTGCGTTGTTTTTTTTTTCAAGTTTCTATTTGTAAGGTTTCAATAGATATTCTTCTTGCACAGATCAGAGGTTGCTGTCCTTTTATCCCTCTGCTGCCCCCGGTGGTGAGCCGGGCGAGCCGTTTCCCCTGCTCGGTAAAAACGTTGCACAAGAGTTCTAGCTTGTGTCCAACATGGATGCGGCCTTTGAGTTGCAAAAAACAGGAGCAGTGGAGCAACATCCCACTGGGCTTGATTTATGGTTTTCCGGCTTTACAACGAATGGCAGGCGCTTGCAGCCTAGGATCAGCCTTCTTGTTTCAGCTGCCGTGGCTACTACCGTGGCCACTACCGTCGTTATTTTCCTCCTTTTTCAATGCGCAGTCTATCTAAAAAACCAAAACCGGCTGAAGATTTCCCTTCGCAGACTGTCAAACCATGTACGGCTCACCCAATTGTGCTCGTTTTTGCTCACTAGGTCATGGGGAAACTCTTAGGCGGCGCGATAAACACGAAGTCACGACCCTCATGTCCTTGTTTTATATTTGCTAATATCGTGTGCTTTGTAAGTGAAATGATGGATAGTGGCATGCTCATGCTTATTGTTTATCTGCAGCCCAACAACTGTAGGGGCAACAACGGGGGAACAGGCGCCGTACCACGCTCAGGCCGTGATCAAGAGCGATATCCTCTTCCTGATGGACAGCGAGATGGTAGAGGACGTCGAAGAGATGACTATCATCGGCCTTCTCCCCCAGGATACAGCGAACCACCCTCATATGCAGCAGGCGGTGGTGGGGGAGGAAGAGGCGGAAGAAGGGGTTACTATGGCGACCAGACAAACGATAATGGCGGAAGACACGGTAGGAGAGCTGATGATGGAAGGAGACACATGCAGGATCACGGACATCCGTTCGGGCCTCCACCCCCTTACGATGCTGCCGACGAGAACGGGCAGTCACCGTACCCGCTCGAACCGCCACCTCCTTACGATGGTCCTTTGGGATATCCATTGCCCGTCCTGGTAGGACCTCCACCTCCGTATCAGGAGACAGACCCTCTGGAAGGTACGAGTGGCAGGCAGCACCATCATGGAGAATGGCGAGGCCCAGAAGGGCCGAGACATCACCAAGGACACCAGGAACCCACAGAAGACCCGAGACATAACCGTAGACACAGGGAACGCCAAGAAGACCCGAGACATAACCATGGACACGGGGGATACTCAGACGACCCGAGAGGACACCATGGACACGGGGGATACCCAGACGACCCGAGAGGACACCATGGACACCGGCGACACCCAGACGATTCGAGACATCACCATGGACACGGGGAACACCCAGACGATTCGAGACATCACCGTAGACACAGGGAACACCCAGACGATTCGAGACATCACCATAGACACGGGGGATACCCAGAAGACCCGAGACATCACCATGGACACGGGGGATACCCAGAAGATCCGAGACATCACCATGGACACGGGG